AAAAACAGGAATTTTATTTAGGTTTTGAACATATTTAAAACTTTTAAAGGCATTTTATTTGAACATTTCCCTGACATAATGAAATAGTATTTGATGTAAAAAGCCTGACCAAAATATTGGCTGTGAAATAAAATAAAGTTGTAACTCAAATGTAATAATTGATTTAAACTGTAAATAAAAAAAGGATAATTCCTCACTAAATTATTACATGATTTACATTCATACTCACAATCAGGAAACATATACAACTCCTACCATTTCTTTGTACTGTTGTGTCACCTAATATCTATAACGCATTTTTTTTTAAATATTTCCCAAATGATAAGAAAGTCCTTACTAAAACTAATCCATAAATGACATGCCGAAAAAGGAAGTCATGCATTAATTATAAACATTGTATTGACAATGAAACTAATTCTTGAATACAACCAATCAAGACATCATTTGAGCCTTTATCATTTTAGAATATTCTAAGTTTGTAAGAGAATGATAATCCCTTACTTCATGATAAGTACGAGCGTTAGGATTTGTTGTATCCTTTATCTCAAATTCGATGGGATAGATTCGTTCAACAGTCACCAAATTTTGAATTATTTAGTGAGTGAACATCATCTATATAGCGGAAAGTGAAGTTAGAGGATACTGCTTACTTTTTTCTTTCTTCCCAAGAAGTTCCTGTATGAAGTCAGCCTCATATGAATAAAAGAAAAGTCATCAAGAAGAGGAGCACAGTTGGTTCCCATTGGAATGCCAATTGTTTGTTGAAAATCACGTCCTCCAAACGTAACAAATATGTTGTCATTCAAGAAATCAAGCATCTTGATGATGTCAGTTTCAGATAATTTTTTGTTATAATCAGAGTTATTTTTTTAAAAAGTACGATTTATCCCTCCCTAACATGCCTAGGATAAGATACTTTATCTACGTTGGATATTTTGTTATGAAACAAAGCAGGACCAACTCTTTCACTTTGTCTTTTAGTTTGGAATGTGATATACTAGTGTAAAGTGTAGAAAAGTCAAATGTTTTAATACTATTGCAAGATGAAAGAGTCATGTATTGTATGTACCCTAAAAGATCTTTGGAATTTTTAAGTATCCACATCTGATTCACCCCACCTCTACAATAGGTAGTTTCACAATAACTTTGGTTGTAAGGAACCTTATGTAGTTTAGGTATCCAATACAGTGAAGGAAGATCCAGTTCATCTTTGGTTGAAATTCCAAAGGAACATAGAACGAACAGACCTGTGATCATTAAGGATTTCCTCCTTGGTAAGTGTCGTGGGGGTATATGTTGAGTTTCCAAGCGAATTGTCAATACATAATTCATTCATTAAGCAGTTTATGTAATGTGATTTACAAACAAAAACGATGTAGTTTGGGGCTTTATCTGCGAAGACAACAACATATTTGTCATGGAGGTAGGACAGGTGTTTTGCAACATTTTGGTCTTTAAAGATTTTTTTCATTTTCACATTTGCCTGTTTATACATAAACTTATCATATTCTTAGTGACATGGCATGATATCTTCAAAATCACCTCTGTTCCAGCTATTACGAGGATTTATTCGACAAATGACATATACATGATATACGAGATGGAAAGGCCATCGAATTGGGATAAGAATGTCAAGAATATATTGATAATGTGGCGATGTGACAGCTAAAGCGGATATTTACATAATAGTGCCATTAATTCCATGTGGACGTTTGTGGCCATGGCTTGGACAACAATTGACTGCAGAAATGTATGTAAAGCAAATTGAATATGGATTACTATAAATTTCCGGTTTAATTTTTATATCTTCTTTGGAAATATAATAAACTAGCTGACGCATATCATAAATCTCTATTATTCATGCGGTGTATTCAAACGTTCCGAGAGTTTTCCTTATTTTCTTTGGTGCTCTTTTGTATATTACCAAATAAATCCTATACATCGAAAAGTATATTTCTGGACAAACAAAATCATTGCAAAATAAGTTACAATCTATTTCAAATAAGTATTCAAGATATGTCGATTGTCTGGAACCTGCTTTTATCAAAAGTAATTCTTTTGATAAAAGTATTTGGGAAGCTGAAATCATCACTTCGTGAATTTGGTAAACGGACAGAAAGTCACAGGACAAAAAGTCACAGGACATAAAGTCACAAATTTGATAGGACAAAAAGTCACAGGACAAAAAGTCACAAATAATTTGTTGACAATTGTTTGAATATATAAAAGAAAGATCTTGAAATATTTTCTTTTTATTACATATATTCATTTTTAAGTTTAGGAAATTGTTCATAAGCCTTGATAAATGAAAATTTATTAAATTTTAATCATGCAAAGGATATATTTCTTGGCACAATGAAGCCATTTAAGTACCAAGCCACTTTGACATTTAGTTTTCATAACAATTATTTGATCATTATTGATATTTATTGAATAAATTTTAATTATAAAGTTGCTTCATATATAATAGTTCAAGAAAAAACAAAAATTTTATTTTTTAAATTAGTGTTTTCTTGTTTTAAGAAATATAATCTCGAAACTGAATTGTGACTTTCTGTCCTGTGACTTTTTGTCCGTGACTTTTTGTCTGTGACTTTTTGTCCTGTGACTTTCTGTCCTACATTCGTAAATTTTACAGACGCCATCACGAGTTGGTTGACCGTTATGGAATATCTGTTATATAGATGATATTAGCTATAGATATGTTCCTTATGTCGTAACTGCAATCCCGTTCCCTTTTCCCGAATGTGACCTACCGAATTAGACTTCTTACCTTTATTTGTGACATTTTTACCTATTGTGTCTGTTTGTTTTGTTCACGCATCATTTTCAATATTATTAAATTTGATGCGACTGTCGCACAGGCACTTGTTTCTATCCATGGGAAGCCCCACTACAAGCTACAAGTGCCTGTGGACTGTCGTACAAGTGAGAGGTTTAGCGCTATAAAACAAGTTCAATCCACCATTTTCTACATTTGAAAATGCCTGTACCAAGTCAGGAATATGACAGTTGTTGTCCATTCGTTTGATGTGTTTTGTCATTTGATTTTGCCATGTGATTAGGGACTTTCCGATTGAATTTTCCTCGGAGTTCAGTATTTTTGTGATTTTACTTTTTGATCAAAGTACAGATGCAGTATGATTATAGTTATTTCGACGAGATTTTGATAAGCGCTGTTAAAACCTTTTCGGAAGAGGCTATAATTATAAAGATAAGAAGATGTGGTATATGGTTGTCGTATAATAATAATAAATATGTCAACATGTAATAGACAAACAAACGATATGGGGTATCCTTTCATGACACAAAATCAGTACATGCACAGCGAAAAACACACAAAAGACAAAGGAACAGCGCTTTTATGTCTTTATCTCAAAGTCAAGGGAGGCCTTCAACACGGAGTAAAAAAACCTCTCACCTCAAGTTTAAGACGGCCCCTAGCACTGGTTTGAGCGGAAGGTTATATGTTTGATGAGCTCGCGCCTCGATAGAAATAGTGTAAAAGTATCATTAGTACTAATTGACATTTTGTTTATGAAAATTTATTCAGAAGTTTATTGTCTGATTTGTATAATATTATGCATCCAGAAAATGAAAATAGCACTCTATAAATTTCTCGCGTCCGTGGAGCGTTTCTAGATTAACCTTCATCAGGAGAGTTTAATAAATCTAAAGAGGACGCAACAGAATATATCAAAATTCATCCAAATTGAACTTTGCCCAACGGAGTTGGTTGCTGAATAATTTCTTAATTTATCAACGTACAATTTAAAAAATGTGTGCTTTATATTAGAAAGCATCATAAATTAATTATATGATTTTGGAATAATGTATTTTAACATGTTTAATGCTTTTAGAGTCATCAAATTAGATATGCATTCCTGGTTTTAGATGTTTTTAAACTAAATTTGTCATTATTTTATTATGGGGCCGGATCGACTTGGGGTCGGATCGACGTGGGCCGGATCGACTTGGGACGGATCGACTTTGGGCCGGATCGACTTGGGGCCGGATCGGTTTGGGGCCGGAACGACCTGATACCGATTATAACATACACTGTCGACGTACGCGCCCATACGTCCTCCAGAAATAGTTGAATGATTTAGATCACTGATTTTCTTTATTTTGCGTTCAACGGTTCATTGATTTACCGTAACGTTTATAATAAATTATTCTGCTATTGAAAAGAAAAATGGACTTCCCTTGTGTATATTGTAATTATTATTCTTAGTGAAATATATTATTGATTGTTATCAAGATAATATAGTTTAATTGGGAATTTTCGTATTACATGAGTATGTTTGCAATGTTATCAATTATCATTAAAATCTATTAAAATTATGCATCAAAATTGAGCTACTCTTTTTGTTTCTAGCATAGTTTTGGGGCATATTCAAAATTTGACATTACTTACGAAGGATATAAGAAGTTGAAAGTCCGTGTGAATGCTGCTTTCTCAAAAAAAATAAATAGATGAAAAGAAAGCACTGAGTATCTATTCTAAATGCATGAATGGAGGAGCTAGCTGTTTTTAGTTCAGTACTGATATGAAGACCTTAAGATTGTTTTTACTCATTATGTGACAAAAAAGAATGCAAAGAAATTATAATTTGAATTAAACAATAAATACTTAAAGGTAAAATATACCTTGTTTGTGACTGTACACTTGTTTGCCCATGTTGGGTGGTCAATGCTAAAATGTGTTAACATATGCATATAATCAGTGCTAAGAAATAACTATAATGTCATCGAGAAAAGTACAATGACTGACAAGGAAAATAGTAACTTTTTTCACAGTCCTGTGTTTTTAACTATGTAATTGTCTGTCTTTTGGTACACATCCTTATTATGGCCATTTCACTATTTCACTTTTTATATGCTTTGGTTTTAAAATCAGAAAATATCTTTTATTGTATACAAATATTATGACGAGACATTAAAACCCTGTTTTGTAAACTGCACACTTTGAAGGTGTTAGAAGTAACAATTCAATAGAATGACAATTAGGTAGTGTGTTTATTATTCTGACTGTCATTTAATATTTGTTTAATAAGAGCAAAATTGCATGAAATATCATTGACATGATAATTTTCTGTTTATGAGTATTTTCATAAAGTGTTAAAACTGTTGTAAACACTTAGGTTCGTAAACAATCAGGCATAGATTGGAACTTTTGTTTTTCACTGCTCTTCCAACTCATCATTCATTTGGCCTTCCAACCATTTCGAGCACCGCTAATGCGTATCATGTTTTAAATATTTTTAGTTCAGGAAACAAAGATAACCCATAAAGATTGGAATTCCATAATGTTCAGTTGATTGCTTAATTGGCCAAACGCAAAATATGAATTGCCATCACTTTAAATCCGAAGACAAAGTTTATTTACACAAAATGGAAATTGCATTTAACTATTCTTCCCAAAAATCGATGCAATTAAATGAAAACAAACCTTGTATCAATGTTCTTTGAAAGGCACTTACCAAGTGGTTTTACCTTTGTTCTGATGAAAAATCTGATATAGGTTCAAGGAACCAAAAAGGGATCTAATTGGTCTGAATTTGAAAAATCTTCTCTACAACAATAGAACCACAACACCCATTGAAACAAAACTATCTTAACCTGGAATCCTTGTGGATTTCACAAGCTTCACTTCAAATATAACACCAGGTCACCAGACCAATTTTGATTCATATTTCAAAAATTGATATTTATAGTTGATATAGAAAGACTATAAGCATTAAGGTATACCAAAACTAATTGATATTTGGTGCAATTAGAAACAAATACAATATTGATATCCTGTACAAATATTCTGGTGTTTTACAGTTGAGTCTAAGGCAGATAGGGATAATGTTGTCCTAAATATATTGTTCCATCGGTATAGATTTAGGTTTTGACGCCTATAAAACATATATTCAAACAAAATTTTAACAGAAATTGACCAAAGAAATGGAGGGGATATAAAATCCTAATTAATTTTGATATAAAAATTAAATTCATAAATGTACAAAATTTTCAGTTCACCATTTGTATATTTGTAAATTTTGCACACCAATAATTTGATACTCAAAATTTGTGAATTTCATAAAAAAAAAAAATTTTTGGAAAAGTAATTATTTATTTTAACCAAAACTTATAATGCATATCTTTACATGGTAATTACTGAATGTACAAAATTTCAGTTCACTCTTTATATAGTTTCGGAGATTGTATGCTCACAAAAACTGTCGACAGATGGATAAGTGACAAAAGTGAAAACAATCAGGCTACAACATCCAAGATGTGGGCTCTAATAAGTATGATATTTTAAAAAATCCATAAATCCATCTCTCTGTTGATATAATATGCTTATACCCTGAAGGCCCATTAAAGATTTCAAAATCATCAGCAGGAACATATATGCTGTTGAGGCATAAAAATAGCTGTTGACATGAAATTTCAATATTTTTTAAGGGAAGGACCATTTTTTTTTCTAGAGAAATAGGAAAGGTGAAAAGAAATTCTGGCCTACTGCCACCATCAACAGCAACATTATGTTGATTTGTCCCATTTCATAATTGACTGTATGTTATTCAGGTATACCATAGTATTGAATAAAATGAAACTATCCTCCTTGTCAAAAATACTATGAGGTGCTGAATAATATATGATAGCTCTGTCTTCACTTGTCAGCTGTTCAGCCCCAGCAAGTTTCTCATAATGCTGATAGGACATTTCTAGAAGAGTCATGTACACCTGTAAAGACATAAATAAGAAATGTGAATGTTTGCAATAAATTGTTGTCCTTTTGTGAAACTCAATAAATCAAAGCTTGACAGATATGTTGTAGATTTGACTCATATTGATACTGTCTGAATTTGGATTGTGATCAAATTTTTGACATAATATACGTTTCTGACACAAAATAAATGTGGTGAAAGATCTTAAAAATTTAAAATGGGTTAAAATATTTGTATTAATTTTCAATTGAAGATTTCTTGCTTTTGCACAATACTGTTATATTGTGCAATACTGTGCTATTGCGCAATACTGTGATATTGTGCAATAAAGTGCTACTCTCCAATACTGTGCTATTGAGCAATACTGTGCAAAAGAAGATTTCTTGCTACAGGGCAATACTGTGCTATTAAAGATTTCTTGCTATTGCGCAATACTGTGCAATAAGATATTTCTTGCTATTGCGCAATATTGTGCGATTGAAGATTTCTTGCAATTGTGCAATACTATGCAATTGAAGATTTCTTGCTATATTATGCAATATTGAGCAAATGGATATTTCTTACTATTGCATAATACTGTGCAGTTGAAGATTTCTTGCTATTGCGCAATACTGTGCAATTGAAGATTTCTTGCAATTGCGCAATACATTGCAATTGGTTATTTCTTGCTATTGCGCAATACTGTGCAATTGAATATTCCTTGCTATTGCGCAATACTGTGCTATAGCACAATTCTATGGAATTGGAACATTTCTTGCTATTGCGCAATACTGTGCTATTGCACAATACTTCATATGATAACTTACACATCCTGTTTGGTGTGCTTCTCCTGTCACATCAGTATTTTTTGCTTTAATATATATCTTATATAATTAATTGAAAAATGGAAAAAAAGTAGGCCTGGTAAGACCCCTTTTTGGCCCAAAAATAAAGCATATTTACAAATATGTTAAAATGTCAACTTTTAGCTATTTATTGGAAAGTAGAATATATCTGTTCCATAAATATAGGCTGTTTTTGACAATAAAATGCACATGCAGCAGGTAATAGCATCATAAATTCGTGCAATATTACTGAAATCTTCACAGTTTTAGCGTTAGTGCTAATTTTAAGACGGTTTTTGTCTAAAATAGAAGTGGCCGCATTTGTGTTCATTCTTAATATTTAAATATATGTTGTATTTGATAATAATACATAACATACATAAAGGTTGAGACTGAACACGAATGTGGCCACTTCCATTTAAGACAAAAAAACATCTGAAAAATGACGTTTTAAGGCATTTTTGGTAGATTTTGCATATTTAAGCGTGAATTTGAGCTTCTCTAATGACCAAATCAGTTCAAATCTTTTACACAAACTAATTGAATCGAATGAAGTAGACACTAAAGTGATTAAAAAATGTCAAAAATCTTTCATTAGATGTACTTCGAATATTAGGCCAAAACTAGCACTTACCAGACCTTCTGCTTTTAAGAAAAAAAAAATTAAAAATTATGAAAAGAAAAATCCCCCCCAAATACTTCATATGATAACTTACACATCCTGTTAGGTGTGTTTTTCCTGTCATATCAGTATTTTTTGCTTTAATATGTATCTTATATAACTAATTGAATTATAGAAAAGGAGTAGGCCTGGTAAGACCCCTTTTTGGTCCCAAAATAAAGCATATTTACAAATATGTTAAAATGTCAACTTTTAGCTATTTATTGGAAAGTAGAATATATCTGTTCCATAAATATAGGCTGTTTTTGACAATAAAATGCATATGCAGCAGGTAATAGCATCATAAATTCGTGCAATCTTACTGAAACCTTCACAGTTTTAGCGTTAGTGCTAATTTTAAGACGGTTTTTGTCTAAAATAGAAGTGGCCGCATTTGTGTTCATTCTTAATATTTAAATATATGTTGTATTTGATAATAATACATAACATACATAAAGGTTGAGACTGAACACGAATATGGCCACTTCCATTTTAGACAAAAAAAACATCTGAAAAATGACGTTTTAAGGCATTTTTGGTAGATTTTGCATATTTAAGCGTGAATTTGAGCTTCTCTAATGACCAAATCAGTTCAAATCTTTTACATAAACTAATTGAATCGAATGAAGTAGACACTAAAGTGATTAAAAAATGTCAAAAATCTTTCATTAGATGTACTTCGAATATTAGGCCAAAACTAGCAATTACCGGACCTTCTGCTTTTAAGAAAAAAAAACCAAAAAATTATGAAAAAAAAAATCCCCCCAAAATTTTTTTGACTCCCCCCTTGAAGTTATTACCCCGAAACTCAAAATGATACGCCCATCACATTTCCAAAGAATAAAGATAAATAAAATTCAATTAATTCTCAATGTCACATGAGAAATTTATGAAAATCAAATGGGAGCTTACATCAATAGATATTCTCCAAAGTTTCATGAGAATTGCTGACAGCATTTTTGAGTTATTGTCCGAAAAACTGGAAAATCCCCCCTTTTTTAATGAATAAAACCCCATAACTAAGAAATGTAAAATGTAAAATTTATAAAATTCTAAAGGGAGCTTACATCAATAGATATAAACAATTCACCAAAGTTTCATAAGAAATGCTGAAAGCATTTTTGAGTTTTTGTACGAAAACTGGAAAATCCCCCTTTTTTTAATGAATAAAACCCCATAACTCTGAAACGTAAAATCTGGTTAAAGCGTTTTTGAGTTAATGTCCGACATGTTGACGACGGACGGACAGACGGACAACGGTATACCATAATACGTCCTGTAAACGGGCGTATAAAAATGCTAGTTTTTGGCCCCCAATTCCTGAACGTTTGAGGCAATTACCTCCAACCTCATACCCAGTCTTCACATTGAGGTATGGAACCTTGTGGTACAATTTCAGAGAGATCCATACAATTACGGAAACTACAAAATTGCTTGTTTTTGGCCCCTTTTTTGGTCCTTATTCCTGAACATTTGGGGCAATTACCCCCAACCTCATACCCAGTTTTCACATTGAGATATGGAAACTTGTGGTACAATTTCAGAGAGATCCATACACTTACACTTGTTTTTGGCCCTTATTCCTGACCACTTGGGGCAATTACCCCCAAACTCATACCCAGTCTTCCCATTGTGATATGGAACCTTGTGGTACAATTTCAGAGAGATCCATACACTTACACACAAGTTATGGTCTGGAAACTACAAAATTGCTTGTTTTTGGCTTCTTTTTTTTCCCCTAATTTCTAAACCCCAAAAATCAATCCAAACCTTCCCTTTGTGGTATTGAACCTTCTGGTAAAATTTCATAGAGATCCATTCATTTTAACTAAAGTTATTGTCCGGAAACCAAAGTGTCTTCGGACGACGCAGACAACGATGACGACAACATCATACCAATATACAATTCAAAAATTTTTTTTGTGGTCGTATAAAAATTGCTTCCACGTTCAACTCAAAATGATCAAGTTCTGGACCAAATATAAAATCATTTCCTTTCAGAAGCCAAGACATCTTTGAAATGTTTGATAAAAGTTTTATATGCAAGGTCTTACTCTTTCGCTTTCAGCCAATAATGCATAGTTAGACTTGACTGAAAATTTCTTGATATAAGCCAAAAATGCATTTTACCCCTATGTTCTATTTTTAGCTATGGCCGCCATGTTTTTTGACAAAACAATTAATAAAACACAAACTTTATCATGTTTATTCTAAAAACCGTAAAGATCAGTAAGCATAAGTTTGGCTGCAATTGGTTCATGGTTTCAGAGGAGAAGATTTTTTTTTAAATTAACAAACATGATGAACAAATTGTGTAAAATTGTCTTTAAAGGCCAATAACTCCTTATGTGGTCAATTAACAATTTTAGTCATATTGACTTATTTGTAGATCTTTCTTTGCTGAACCCTTTTTTTTTTTCTTTTTAGTTTATCTTTATCTATAATAATATTCAAGATAATAACCAAAAACTGAAAAATATCTAAAAAATAATCAATTCAGTTGCATGTCAGATTTGCTCTAAATGCTTTATTTTTTGAGATATAAGCCAACAAGAGTGACACACTGAAATGTCTCGCTTTTTTTAGTGTTCAAAATTGAATTCATGTTGAAAGTAAAAAAAAAGAAGTGTATACCAGAAGCATTACATTAAATTAACATTTAAATGATCAATGTAGATGAGGTAAAGGTGTGATCAACCTTTTCTGACAGACATGTAGACTGTACAATCATTCCATTCACTAAATTTAGTTAACCTATTGCTAAAGAATCTCAGAAACAAACCTCATAAAAAAAACTATATGTCCCTCTACAATAGTAGGTGGGGCATAAATATTGAACTTTGAACAAGGAACCATGAAAATTAAGTCAAGGTCAACTGACACCTACCAGACAGACATACACCTTACAAGCATTCCATACACCAAATATAGTTCTACTATCCATAAAGTATCTAAAATAAACAGCTGCACCATGAGCGCATGATACGCCCGTCGTCTTGTGTGTGAATTTTTATGCAATAATCATAAATAGTTTCTGACATACGGCGCGACATGCGAAAACCCCCCTTTTTTTTACAAAAAACTCAATATCTCTAAAATAAAATTTTGAATCAAAACCAAAAAGTATACAGATCTTTAGATTAATATAACTAAGAAGTGTGTAAAATTTTAAGCAATAATCATAAATCGTTTTTGAGATACGTCGTGACATGTGAAAACCTCCTTTCTTAAAAAAAAAATCAATATCTCTAAAATAAAATTTTGAATCAAAACCAAAAAGTATACAGATCTTAAGATTAATATGACTAAGAAGTGTGTAAAGTTTTAAGCAATAATCATAAACTGTTTTTGAGATATTAGGCGCGACATGTGAAAAAAAAACACACACCTGTTTAAGTTACTAAGTCCCGTAACTCAAAAAGTTTTAATCTTATTTTCACCAAAAAGTATACAGATCGTTTGACCATCATAAGAAACAACCATTTTAAGTTTCATGAAATTTGAATAAGTCGTTCTCAAGTTACGGTGTGACATGTTTACGCCGGACAGACAGACGACATTTGTATACCATAATACGTCCCGTCAAAATTTTAACAGGCGTATAAAAACCCAAACAAATCATAGAAATTCAACATCGACTAATGAACCATGAAAATGAGGTCAAGGTCATATGAAACCTGCCAGATAAATATATAAACCTTACAATCTTTCTATAAACCAAATATAGTTCACCTATACCTTACCTAATAGTATCTGGAAAACAGACCAAAGAAGAATAACAAACATTGATCCATGAAAATGAGGTAAAGGTCAGATGATTATAGCCAAACAAACATGTTAAATATAATTGACTGAATGCTTATAGTATTTGAGAAATAGACCAAAATATTAAAACTTAACTTTGACCACAGAATGAGGTCAAGGTCAGATGACACCTGCCAGTTGGACATGTATGTAAGCGTAATTTCATTCTGCCGTGTATTTATTCCAGGTAACTGTTTTTCAGTAGAGAATATTGGATGTAAATAGTGTGAAAGCGTTGAACTTGATATCGCTGTTTTGTTTATATTAGACCGTTTTATTGTTTACATAAATAAATGGGTTAAAATTAAAATGATTTTCAAAGAACCAGTTTAATTAATCTGAGTCAATCTAGTAAATAATATTGATGATAAAGAGGAGGATGTTTTTATAACTCAAAATACTTTATCAATGACCAGGACTTTGAACTTGATATAAACCAAATTTAAAGAGCAGATTTGTTCTTACATAAAGTTTCAATTATAGAAGCATCCTTTGAAATTGACATAGAAGATATGATTTTATATCCAGGTCGACCGAAAAGCAAATACACAGAAAAACTTCGGCAATCCAATAAATATAAATATTACAATTACCGGTAGCGACAATTTAAAAGCATATGATTTTATAGATTTGCATAGAAAATTGTTTACATCTTATTTGTTAATAAGCATTATTGTGTTATCGTGTGTTCAAAATGAGTACTTATCACTTCATCAATGTATGGATCTAAAGCACTAGTGTAATTAATCCCTGTATAAAATAACTAGTGCAATCATTTCTGTACAAAATCACTAGTGTAATCATTCCTTGTTTAAAAACACTAGTGTGAACATTCCTTGGATGAAAACTCTCAACTTTTTTACATAAATCAACTATGCAAGTTTCAACTACACTAAAAAATATAAAGCCACATTTTATACATGTTTCCCCTTCAAAAAATCCTTTTTAGAACCTTATAATGACTGGTGGATGTTTTACACTGGACCCGGATAAAAAAAACCTAGTGAATTTTTGTTGGTGGATAAAAATCACTGGGGATTTTCTTCCTCCGGATAAAGTACACTGGCGGAATCAAACCACTGTTACATGTAAAATTGAGAATGGAAATGGGGAATATGTCAAAGAGACAAAAACCCGACCAGACAACAGCCGAAGGCCACCAATGGGTCTTCAATGCAGCGACAAAATCCCGCACCCAGAGGTGGTCCTCAGCTGGCCCGTAAATAAAATTGTGTGCTAGTTCAGTGAAAATGGACGTCACACTAAACTCGTTGAAATCAAATACGTTGTTACATACACGAGCGAATCGAACAAGTTGAGATATATAAACACCATAAGATGGCGACAAGGGAACGTCACCATCTAAAAATGGATAATTAACAATAGGAAATGAAAAATCATCTCTTTTATCATAAATTTTGGTATTACGTTTCCTGTTAAAGATAAAGATATCAAGATCCAGGAAAGGGCAGTGTTCATTGTTAGTATTAGCTTTATTTAAATTCAGCTCGGCTGGATAAATCTCTTTAGTGTACATACTAAAGTCCATATTATTGAGAGCCAATATATCATCTAAATATCTTAAAGTGTTATTAAATTTTTGAATCAGATGTTGTTTCGATGGGCCTTTGCTGATTTTAGTCATAAATTTTAACTCATAACAATACAGAAACAGGTGGTGCACAGTTAGTCCCCATGGGAATTCCGATAACCTGACGATATACGGAATCTCCATAGCGAACAAAAATGTTATCTAGTAAAAATTCAAGGGCAGTTATAGTATCAAAGCAGGTCCAATTGACATACTGTGGATTCATTATTATTCATTGGATACCAATTTTCGTGGATTTCATGGGTACAGGTGAACCACGAATTTAAATGTTCAAGGAATTGCAAATTTTCTATAGGTTTGTATGCAGACTTTGACAAAACCACGAAATCAAATATCCACGAAATTACAGGCATTCCTCAATCCACGAAAAATGGTAGCCATGAAATTAAATGAATCCACAGTAGTTCGTTTGTTTGTTGTTACTAAAAAATTACCTAAAAGAGTTTGAACACATATATATTCGCATTCCGTCTTTTTAAATGCCCATTTAATCAGGTGTGTGAATTTTTTCTTAATAAGATTTTGAGGCAATGTGGTATAAAGGGTATAAAAATCAAAACTTTGAACAGATTCGAAATCACCAATATAAGCATGTAATTTATCAAGTATTTCCAACGAATTTTTGACACTCCAAAAGTAATTAATTCCACTATTTTCAAAGGCCTTATTTGAACAATTTATTACCAGGTTTTTGATTGTACCAAGTGTACTTGTAAGTAGAATAGATAGTTTAGTAGTGGAACAATGGCTTGAAGACGAAATAAATCTATATTTGTAAGGAGTTTTATGCAGCTTCGGAAGCCAGTACATAGTTGGAACTTTCATTGTATTTGGTTCTGCTTGTAAAGAGGTAGCTAAAAGTTAATGTTTGTTACAGATGTCATTTCCCTAAAATGGAGTCAGTTGGAATGTTGGTGAATTCGTGATTTCCTTTTGTAGAACATCAATGTAAAATTTAGGTCAAACAATAATAAATAAATTTGGTGTATTTACTGTCTTCTGATTGGTTAAAAGTATTACCTTTATTTTCAATGTTGTCAATTTTTATGGCGACACGCCCACTCTGACGTTGTGTATTCATACGTCAACATGTGTGTACGTACGTTGTTATCGTTAATATAAATAAAATAAAAAGCTCTTTGAGCCTTATTTGTGATAGAAATTTATTTATAAATAATGAATTGCTATTATTTATTTTGAATTTATTGAACCATAAAATTAATTTTTGACTATTCACATTTTACATAATCCGCTTCGCGGATTATTCAATGTGAAGAGTCAAAAATTAATTTTATGGTTCAATAAATTCAAAATAAATAATAGCCATTCATTAAATGACGCATACAAACATTTCATACACCAAATATAAAAGACTTATTGCTTAGAGTATCTGAGATATGGACTTGACCATGAAAACTTAACCTTGTTCACTGATCCATGAAATGAAGTTGAGGTCAAGTGAAAACTGACCGACAGGCATGAGGACCTTGCAAGGTACGCACATACCAAATATAGTTACCCTATTGCTTATTATAAGAGAGAAATTAACATTGCCAAAAATTTGAACTTTTAGTAGTCACTGAACCATGAAAATGAGGTCAAGGTCAATAGTCATATGACTGACGGAAGGTTCGTATCATGGGGCATCTATATACAAAGTATGAATCATCCAGGTCTTCTACCATCTGATATATAAATCTTTTAATTTAAGAGCTAACGCTGCTGCTAGGCTGGATCCCTTTTCCAAAGTCCCATTTTCAAAAACTGCATTTTATCCATATGTTCTATTTCTAGCCACTGCGGCCATGAATTTTTAACAAAACTGTAAATAAAACAAAAACGTTATACTAGATACACTAAGGATCATTCAGCTTAAGATTAATTGAAATTGGTTAAGTAATTTTAGAACGAACGAACGGATGGACAGAAGACGCAAAGTGATTGCAAAACCTCAGACTTGACTGATTAAAGAAAAATTTGAGACACCCAAATGGATAAACAGATGTGTATACCATATATTAATTCCTGTGTCATTTATGACTTTTTTATGCATATATATGCATATTGGTTAAAGCATTTTTGAGTTAATGTCCAACATGTTGACAACAGACGGACAGACAGACGGTCAACGGTATACCATAATACCTCCCGTAAACCGGCTTAAAAAATGAAATAGCACTTGCAAAACAGCATTTCTTGAAAGTGTCATAAGAATCCATCAAGCGCTTCAGAAGTAGTTGAGGATAAAAAATTGTGACCGACGAACAGATGGAAAGACAAACATCTTGATCACTGTAAACCCGGCTATAAAGTGGGGATTAATAAGGCTTAATATTGGTTTTTATCAAAACAAATTATTCATTAAGGTTTTACCATTGTTTTATCAATAATCATTCCAGGCATAGTTAATGTTGATGGTTTTTCATTTTTTACATCTGAATGTTGTTCCATGTAGTTGTGCAGATCTAGTAAGAGTTCTCCAGCATGCTGTCCTAAGGTATGCTTCCCAACATCTAACTCTATCAAAGGTCTAATATTGTTTTCAGTTTGGAGTGGGTTTTGTTTCAGTGCCTCAGAATAGCACCTATGTTCAACAGACTCAGTTGGTGTAGAGGAAGAAGAAGATGAATTTGAGACATTATAACGTCTCCTTTTTGCTCTCTTTTCTGAATCCTCCTGTTGTTTCCTTTTCCGGTTTTCTTCTTCTGTATACTGGCCTTTGTACTTTACCTGAAAAATATCTAATTCAAGTGACCCATGCTTATGATCATGATAACATTTAAGTATAACTGTTACATCTCCTGAAACCTGTAATGTTCCTAATCCCATGCACATGAATTGCACAAAGAAAGCAAAGAATATGCATGTAACACCCACGAGATCCACGAAACAAGATCAACAACATAACTCTGAAGTTCAGAAATATATCTATAGTTTTCCTTTGCTTTAACAGTATAAATCAGAAAATTTTTACATTTACGGATGTATTCTTCTGACGTTTCAGTCTCGTTGAAATCTCGTTCTGGAATTATTTCCAAAACATGTGATACAAGTGGAAATAGCAATGAATTTAATGAATATCATAATCAAACTGAACTCTGTGAAAAAATTGTGTATTTACAATAAGTAGTTTTTGAGTAATATATTTTTCAAATTTTATTACCAATCAAGTCAGTATTTTTAGCCAAATTTTTGAGAAAATGGGTGAGGGGTACAAGAAATGATTTTACCAGAAACATGTAAATCCCATATCACTTTTTTCTTTTCAAATTTCTGAGATATGTATTTTTTTCAATCATTTATAACAAAGAAGTTGAAATAATATGCATTTGATTCTTAAAACAGAGAAAAATCATAAATTTACAAAATTATCAGCATGGTAAATTTGACACGAAAAAGCATCAAAATATGATAAAACTTTCTTATATTAACACCTACCTATAGTTTTTTTAAGTTAAATTTATTCAGATTGGTCCACTTCATCTTTATTGAAAGTATGAAAAAAAGTTTAATTGTAGAACTGTGATTTTTTTCACGATAATAGCCCAAAAATGGACAAAAACTGATGAAAAATGGGAAAAACATCAAAATTGGGTACTTTCAAAGGGCCGTAGCAAAAAAAGAAGTGCACCACCATATGATGTTTTCTTCACCAATTATTTTTTTACAGTCATATAAACCCAAAAATCAGGTTAAGAAAAAAAGTTTAATTCTAGAAATGTTTGGCTCCTCAGAGGTGTACATCCTTAAAATTATGAATTAATATAAATAACTAAGCAGAGTCCAGCTTGATACGAACAACGATGTTGAACCCTGAACAGTTGGGGCAAGTATATATATGGAGTTTAAGACACTGTATAAATATATATATATTCTTTTTTAAGTTATCTCATCCAAAATTTTATGCATTTTTAATGCATTTTTTATTTTTATATTATTTTTTATCTTCTCTGTAACCTTTGTACTTGCATGGTTTTATGAGAATAAAGTATCTATCTATCTATCAACTCAGAGACAAGTGTACATGAAGACACATTAGACAAATACTAATAGAAAAAGCCTTTCTCAATAATTCTCCTAATAGTCTATTAAATCACCCTCCCATCTAGATTGGTCAAACTGTTAACATAAAGCTTAAGAATTCATGTTTTCAAATGTATATAAGTAACATTAAAGGGAAAATTTGCAAAAAAAAATAATTTGATATTATGTTCATCCTAAATAAATAAGCATATTCCCAAAATATTAAAGGTTTATTCATCTAGATAAGTGAGTTAATTGATTTTTAAAACCAACTATCAATTCTCTGCAAGTCACCATCTTGAAAACTAAAAACCACGGATATTTAATTACCACAAAGTCCTAGTACCTAGCATGACATGTCATAATCATAATTCAGCTTTAAAATGACTTGTCAAGCTTATTGATGTTCTACCCGACCAAGTAATGGAAGAAGCCTACACAGTTTCCAGTAATGCTTTAGGTGTCAGACCACCATTTACTCCCTGTAATTTAGAACGTATGTAAAAGTATCCCTACTCTGACACAAAATAGTGCTTTTGATGTCACTGTTTACTTAGACTAACCAACAAATTTGCAGAAATGAAACTTTTGGTGAAAGAGAAATATATTTAGACCATTTTGAGCCAAAATTAACTTGTCTTTGAGTTTGCATTAAAAATTCAGGATAAATGCACTACATAGTATACTAATTTAAGATTTCCACAAAACCAGGGGTTATTTTTGGAGTAGTTATTTTCCCAAAGGCAATTCTTTCTTAGAAGATTTTAAACATGGGTTGAAAATTGGCATGTAGAAAGGTGATACATGTACAATTTAACATATACCTGGTTTCTATGAAGTTAAACTTAAGGTAAAATATTTAGAAAGCTGTTTAAACTGCAAAATTTGGTTGAACAGATAGGGATTTTTAATTGGTGGTCTGACACCTTTAAAGCAAATTGTGGCAAAACCCCCAAATCAGAAAACAATTGATTTTTTTGTCTTAACTGATGATTTGAAATGATAGTAGCCACATTTCAATCTTTTTTTATGCAAATAGTCACATATTGCAAATTTAGAGCCTTACATCAGAATTTATGCTATTTTTAGCTTTTCCCACCCTGACACTATGCTTTCATATAAAAAAATGTCCTAAACTGTTATAAATGCACAGTAAGTTGTTTCTGTGGTGTTAAACATTAAAATATAGGATGTTTACTACCCCAAAAAAATTGTCGTCAAAAAGTCATGAAGATTTAATGAAATTATTTGATTTTTACACCTTATATCATTGCGTTATACCATGTATTTGGCAGATAACATAGCCTGATGTAAACAATGCATAAACTCACAAAAATCCCATTTATAATCTCAAATGAAAGTTGTATACCTTAAATTCTATTAACTGATGGTAAATAAAAACAGTAAAATGACCATGACTGTACTTTTGATCAATTAATAGTCCCATTACTGACACCAGGTGAAAAAAGGGGGGTCAGTATTCCTTGACTCTTCAATACCTTGGATGTTTTACTAAACTCATTGTAAAAATTGTGGAAAGTCTTTAAAGCAGTAGAACAAACAAGGAAAAATCAACAAAAACTGATCTTGATATTGAAAGTTTATGTTCCTGTAGTCCAAAATGAAATTTTCAAGTATTTTCTATCAAAGTCATACATTACGGTCAGTTTAAATTGAGCTGTGAAATTTGTAATATAAGTCACATTACCTTGAGGTACAATTTCAGACAGATCTATAAACTTACACACAAGTAATTGTCCGGAAACTACAAAAATGCTTGTTTTTAGCCCTTAATTCTAAACATGTTGGTACCAGAACCCCTAAAATCAATCCCAACCTTCCTTTAGTGGTATTGACCCATCTGGTAAAATTTATATGAGATCGATTTACTTAAACTTAAGTTATTGTCCGGAAACCAAATGTGTCTTCGGACGACAACGACATCATACCAATATATGACGCAAAAAAAAATATTTTGCGGTCATATCAAAATGCAAAGTTTTACAAAATTTATCAATTCAGGGGCAATAAACCAAATAAAGGTAGTCCTACTTGTCTTAATATTTTGTGGCAGATAGATCTTGACCTAATGAAGGCATCTATGTTGACTTATTTGTGTATATAACTTAGCAGAATATTTTGGCTGTAACAGTTTATCTTTATCTATAATAATATTCAAGATAATATCCCAAAACGACTGCAAAATTTTACAAAAAATTATCAATTCAGGGGCATTAACCCAAAAATAGGTAGTCTTACTTGCCTGAATTTTTTGTGGCAGATAGATCTTGACCTAATGAACGCATCTATACCCCCCTTCTGAAAAACCAAAGAGTTAATGTAAATGTATGAAAGGTTAAAAGTTAAATACAGAAAAACTAAGAAAAAAAATCCTAAACTTTCCTGTGCCGACGACAACGGAATGTAGGATCGCTATGTCTCCCTTTTGCAACAAAAGTCACAGGCTAGACAAAAACCATAGCAGTTTCATATAGAAATTTTCAAATTTTGCTCATTTTGATTTTTGATACATACCTTTACACAATGCATCTTTATGTAAATGATATTTGCCCAATGATAACACAAATATAAAATTTACAAAATCTTTTATCGAAGAATACTTATGATCCAACTTCATTAGCATGTATTCATTATTACAACTTTTACAAACATTGAAAATTTTACTTTTTTTTTTATGTCACACTAAAAGCCTTATACTCCTGACAATTTTGGCATGTTTTTGCTATTAAAAGATATATTAATGAAATTTGGCAGCAAGCTAGCTGGTATTAAACTGGTTGTTTCGACATTTTTATTATTATTCTAGATCTAAACCAAAAAAAATATACCACAATACGTAAAAAAGCTTATTTTTTTCTGATTCCACCCATGTCAGAAATAAACTTTGAAATCATAATGGTTCTTCAGATATAGAATGGACATGATCTTTCTCATAGGACATTGGGTTCTATACTGAAACCTGAGTTTTTGAACTTGATATTTGACCTACAAAGTTGTAATTACATTATGACAACCCTCTGGTGTTGGTCAATATATATGTCAAGTATAAAATTTGAAATCATAATGGTTCTCTAGATATAGAGTTGATCACTATAGGGTGAACAACCAAGAGTGGTGAGGCCATAATTATCATTTTGAATATATTGGCTTTCAATCATCATTTAATTAAAGCCAAAAAAAAATAATATATCTGTTTCCTGTTTCTCGACAGACCAGGGTTGGAAACTGCTGACGTTAAATCGCAGACAGAAATAACTGGGGAATGTGTCCATAGGGACACAGATGATGCTCCCGCTACCATATAACGTTTTAAGCGACATAACTCAAGAACTGTAAAAGTGACGCTACCAAAATTTGAACTTAAACTGAGTTTTGTGTTAATAATCATTATATATACATTTCATAACATTTAGCTGTCCGTATATATCAAAATTATGAGAAGACCTTAACTCCTGTGTATTTGAGAAGACAGAAATAGAACTAACTTTAATTATGATTTGGTTTTATTTGGTATTCTTACAAAAACAGATAAAAATGACATAAGAAACTTAATAATTCTGTTAACAAAATTCTTCATTCATGGAAACAAATTATCAATGGAACAAACCAATATGATAGCACTAAAAAATTATTTAAAATAAAACTTATTAATAGAAAAAAATATATTTTATTAAAGTAAAATACTCAGTAGGGCAGAGAACTGCTGGAACCCCTGGACTCCTTTATTGTCATAAAAAAAAATGATTTTACAAGTCTTAACTAATTTTGAAACAAGCTATTGGCTTAGGGATATTGGTTTGCAGAAAAAACCTGATTAAACCTCCACTTTAGATTACTAAAAAGAAATTGAATTCTCTCTCTTTGTATATAGCATTTGAAAAAGTGGATGAATCAATACATAGCTAGTACTGTATTAAGTTCTATCAAATTACCTCTTCATGCAGAAGATGCTATATTCACTATAAACAAGTTATCAGTGGAAGGCAAAATTAAACATTGTATTGTATAAAGCCCTGATTGTAGTTGATTCAACTATAATCATGGACAAAGGAAGATAACTCCAATTCTAAAATTTACTTGATTGACATTTTTTGACATAAGAAAAAAAAAATTGCATAGCTCTAGAACAGTAAAAGTGACACAGATGATGCCCCCGCTTGAATATCATATAGTTATAAAGGGACATAACTGAAGAACGGTAAAAGTGACGCTACCAAAAATTCAAACTTGATCTGTATATTGTGGTAATAAGCACTGTGTATAAGTTTTATAACATTTGGTTGAGGCAAACTTAAGTTACAGAATGGAAACGAAAAATTTAGCAATATTTCCATTTGTAAAGGGGCATAACTCTAGAACGGTAAAAGTGACGCCAAATAAATACAAACTTGATCTATATGTAGTGGTAATAAGCATTGTGTATAAGTTTCATAACATTTGGTTGAGGCAAACTAAAGTTAGAGAAAGGAAACCAACTTTTAGACATACGGACGGATGTATGTACGTACAGACGGACAAGGGTAAGGCGGGGGCATAAAAAATTATTGGTAAAATCTGCTATCTGTCATAATCTGATAACTTTTAAAATTTGAATTTTCTTGAGACTTCTGGTGATAAAAACATATATCAGAAGATTCTTATCTTCAGATCTTACTTTGCTGAACATTTTTGCTGTTTACAGTTTATCTTTATCTCCAATAATATTCAAGATAATAACCAAAAACTGCAAAATTTCGTTAAAATTACCAATTTAGTGGCAGCAACCCAACAATGGGTTGTTCGATTCGTCTGAAAATTTCAGGGCTGATAGACCATTACCTAATGAAAATTTTTACCCCCTTTCAGATTTGCTCTACATGCTTTAGTTTTTGAGATATAAGCCAAATCTATATTTGACCCCTATGTTCTATTTTTAGCAACGGCAGCCATGTTTGTTCATAGATCTAAACTTTGGATACAATTTATAAACTAAATACCCTAAGAAACATTCTTTTACAGTTTTAAAGTATTTGGCTCAGTAGTTCAGAGGAGAAGATTTAGGCCAGGTGAGCTAAAAAGCAGTACTTAGATATTAGCATGTTAATGTTTATACTAGTAAATTGAAAATACCTCTATAACAGTTAATGATTTACTATGAAGATCCTTAAAGTTTTCTCCTGTACAATGAAATCTAAAGTCTGGCTTTGAGATAACTAATTTACCAATTCCTCTCAAATTATCCCATACAGCCTGATTATCTGCAGTACCATTTCTAAAATGATAAAAAAGCACAAAACATATACATCAGTATATATACAAAAAAAATAAGTTTAAGATAGCTCCTCAATACTTATTCTCTAAAAGTTTCATGAAGATTTATCAATTGGTTCAGAAGGAGTTGCAAATGCAAAATAGAAATATGCTTAAAAAGAAATGACAAGTGAATCTGTGAGCTACTGCTCACTAATGATACCCCTCTAAAAGTATACAGTAAACAGGAAGTTGTTGAGTGATAAATCTGAAAATACATCACACAGTATAGCTCACTGATATAAACCTTGATACCTAATTTCAGGAAGCCTTATGTAGTTTTTGAGAAAAATCTGACGAAAAATTTTCTTCTTCGCTATTAAGTGTAAAAATGTGTAAGTGTTTGGTAAACAGGAAGTTGTTGAGCGATGAATCTGAAAACACATCACACAGTATAACTCACTGATATTAACCTTGATATCAAATTTCAGGAAGCCTTGTTATGAGAGCCTGAGAAAAAATGCTATGAAAAAAATTTCTACTTGACTATAATGGTAAGTGTAAAAATGTGTAAGTGTTCGATAAACAGGAAGTTATTGAGCGATGAATATGAAAACACATCACACGATAAAGCTCACTGATATAAATAGATATAAGAAGATGTGGTATGAGTGCCAATGAGACAACTCTCCTTCCAAGTCAAAATTTATAAAAGTAAACCATTATAGGTCAAAGTAGGGTCTTCAACACGGAGCCTTGGCTCACACCGAATAGCAAGCTGTAAAGGGCCCTAAAAATTATTACTGTAAAACCATTCAAACCGGAAAACCAACGGTCTAATCTATATAAAAAACGAGAAACGAGAAACACTTATGAACCACATCAACAAACGACAATTACTGAACATTAGATTCCTAACTTAGGACAGGTGCAAACAATTGCAGCGGGCTTAAACGTTTTAATGGTACCAAACCTTCACCCTTATCTGAAACAATAGTGTAACATCACAACATAGAAAGACACACTATAAAATATCAATTAAAATGGCTTAACTCAATCAAAAGACATATTAACACCAGTGAACATACACTGAACAAATAAATTTGATCTATGATACAATGTAAATACAAAATAAATAAACTAAGGGAAGAATAATTAAAGTAACATGTTATACCACTAGGAAATGTTCAACAATTTAAGAAAAACAATATGCTTGAACAAAAAAATTGGCCATTTGCAAACATTGATACCGAATTTCAGGAAGCCTTGTTATGTAGTTCTTGAGAAAAATTCGACAAAAAATTTTCTACTTGGCTATTAAGTGTAAAAATGTGTAAGTGTTCGGTAAAGATGGAAGTTGTTGAGTGATGAATCTGAAAACACATCACACAGTATAGCTCACTGATATTAACCTTGATACCTAATTTCAGGAAGCCATGTTATGTAGTTTCTGAGCAAAAATGAAATGAAAAAATTTTCTTCTTGGCTATTATGGAAAGTGTAATAAAATGCTCCACTGGGCGCAGCTTGATACGACCGCAGATGTCAAACCCTGAACAGTTGGGGCAAGTATGGACACAACATTCAAGCTTGATACAGCACTGAATTTGGATTGTGATTAAATATTTGACACAGCATAGGTTTCTGACACAGAATGAATGTGGTCTAAGAACTTAAAAATTTTTGATTTACCTATTCAAACCATATCATTATTATTTGCTTTTATATATAAATCAGAAATAACCAATTTAAAATGGAAAATTTTAAAGAAAAAAATCCCCCCCAAATTTTTTGAACCCCCTTAAGATTCATCACCCCCAAACTCAATCCCAGCCTTCCCTTTGTGGTATGGTACCTTGCAGTACAATTTCAAAGAGATCCATACACTTGAACACAAGTTATTGTCTGGAAACTAGAAAAATGCTTGTTTTTTGGCCCCTTTTTGGCCCCAAATTCCTAAACGTTTAGGGCAATTACCCCCAAACTCAAACCCAGCTTTCCCTTTGTGATATGGAACCTTGTAGTACAATTTCAGAAAGATCCATACACTTACACACAAGTTATTGTCCGGAAACTAAAAAAATGCTTGTTTTTTGCCCCTTTTTTGCCCCTAATTCCTAAAATTTTGAGGCAAATACCCCCAAAATCAATCCCAGCCTTCCATTTGTGGTATGGTACCTTGCAGTACAATTTCAGAGAGATCCATACACTTGAACACAAGTTATTCTCTGGAAACTAGAAAAATGCTTATTTTTGGCCCCTTATTCATAAACGTTTCGGGCAATTACCCCCAAACTCAATTCCAGCTTTTCCTTTGTGATATGGAACCTTGAAGTACAATTTCAGAAGGATCCATACACTCACACACAAGTTATTGTCATGAAACTAGAAAAATGCTTGTTTTTTGCCCCTTTTTTGGCCCCTAATTCCTTAAATATTGAGGCAATTACCCCCAAAATCAATCCCAGCATTTCCTTTGTGATATGGAACCTTGTGGTACAATGTCAGAGAGATCCATACACTAACACACAAGTTATGTCTGGAAGTTACAAAAATGCTTATTTTTGGCCCCTTTTTGGCCCCTAATTCCTTAACTGTTGGTACCATAACCCCCAAAAACAATCCCAATCTTCCTTTTGTGGTATTGAACCTTATGGTAAAATTTCAGATCCATTCACTTTAACTAAAAGTTAAGAGTGCGAAAATCAATGTGTCTTCGGACCACGACGACGAAGCCAGACGACGACGACGCCAACGTCATACCAATATACGACCACAAAATTTTTTTTCGGTCGTATAAAAATGTGTAAGTGTTCGGTAAACAGGAAGTTGTTGAGTGATGAATCTGAAGACGCATCACACAGTATAGTTTACTGATATAAACCTTGATATCAAATTTCAGGAAGCCTTGCTATGTAGTTCCTGGGAAAAATGGGAAGACAAATATTCATGGGACAGATGGACAAACAGACAGAGGTAAAACAGTATACCCCTACTGAATCTGAATTTCACCATGCATTTCAATAAATACGCCAATATGAACCATTTTGCAAGTTGCAATTTGACCACCATGATCATGAATTATTAAATTCTGACATACTGACAGAAGATCCATCACAAAGTTCCATTCATTTCAACATTCCTTGTAATTGTTTACTACTGTGGATTCATTAATTTTCGTTGGATACCAATTTTCGTGGATTTCGTGGATACAGGTTAACCACGAATTTAAATGTTCAAGGAATTGCAAATTTTCTATTTGCTTGTATACAGACTTTGGCAAAACCACGAAATTAAATATCAACGAACATGAAAGTTTTCCTCAATCCACAAAAATTGGTACCCACGAAAATAAATGAATCCACAGTATGCCACCATTTATAATCAGCTGTTGAAAGCATGTACTAAGGAAATCCTGATTTTGATTGGTTAATCACCTGTGATGAGGATTGATCACTAAGTACAAAACCGAGATCGGGAAGAGAATTGAAAGCAGAAAATGTTCACACCATCCAGTCCCATAGGTCTATAAATATCCAGACAGTATTTGTCTGTAACTTAAAGGTGTTCCCCAGTATTTTCCCACCAAAAGAGATCATGTGATAATTGTTTACAAGTTAAAGAAATCAAAACTTTTTCCATGTGGTCAGAAAATTCATTTCTTTTCTGGATTACTACTTTCATTACCGTACATTTTTGGGATAAATCACATTCCATTTAAGTTACAATCAAGCATTTGTACTTGTAGAATAGTTTGCAAATAATGTGTTTACACTAACTGGGTCATCATAATAATGACATGGATGGACATCAGTTGTCAAAGAACATTCCTTGAGGCAGTGTTCATACCATTTAACACTACTTATATTATAGATTCTTTATTGCCACTGGCCACAAATCTATTGTATTTTCAAGCTTGGCGGACACGAAAATAAATCTGGCGCTAGGAATTTTAAGCGTGTCACTTAAATAGGTCATGGTAATCCATGACAACTTACTCAACTCGTAATCCACACATGGCTGCAAATGCTGATACAACTCCGGAGTATGTTTCTTCAGAAATAAAAGGAGTCATTTCTTTTTCAGCATGTTCAGCACAAGTCTTTGATATCTGGTAAATTGTATTTACAAACCCTACAAGTGCAGTAATATACTCCCTCATTCGGACATATATAAGTGATCCATTTGCAGAAGTCAAACTGAAATACAGTAAAATTTATTATTATCAATGGTAATCACTAAAATGAACAGTTTGATAAAAACTCATAGATCATTGTAGATGTAAAATACTAGACAGTTGGGCAAGTATTAGACACTATTATACAATGATATACAAGCTTGATATATCTGTAAATTTGGATTGCGGTTAAATGATTAATTAATACCTAAGTTATTGCACAAAAAACCAAATGTCATTTCAAATGTCTATGGACTACGATAAAGCCATATTATCACAAATATTTTTGTCATTTTTTGGAATGTTTACAATTTGTTGGACAAAGGTTCCCCAGCATACATAAATTCCGTGCTGGACCTTCTGAACTATGCCAGACCTAAATTTTTACCAAACTTTAACCAAATAAATGTGGATAGTTTCCACATGTGAACACAGATGATGCCCCGGCTTGCATATCATATAGTTATAAAGGGACATAACTGAAGAACGGTAAAAGTGACGCTACCCAAATTTGAACTTGATCTGAGTTTTGTGGTAATAAGCATTGTGTGTAAGTCTCATAACATTTGGTTGAGGCTAACTTAAGTAGAGAACAGAAACTAAAAATTCAGCAATTTTTCTATTTGTAAACACAACTCTAGAACGGTTGTGTATAAGTTTTATAACATTTGGTTGAGACAAACTAAAGTTAGAGAACGGAAACGAAAAATTCAGCAATTTTTATGTTTATAAAGGGACACAACTCAAGAATGGTAAAAGTGTTGCCACCAAATTTCGTACTTAATCTGTATTATGTAGTAATAAGCATTGTGTATAAGTTTCATAACATTTGGTTGAGGCAAACTAATTTAAAGTTAGAAAACAGAAACAAAAAGTTTGTACTTGATCTTAGTTTTGTGGGAATGAATATTGTGTATAGGTTTCATAACGTTTGGTTGGGGCAAACTTAAGTTACAGAATGGAAACTAAAAATTTTGCAATATTTCAATTTATAAAGGGGCATAACTCAATAATGGTTAAAGTGACACTACCCAAATTCAACTTGATCTGTGTTTTATCAGTGGAAGTCAATATTAAACATTGCATTCTATAAAGCATTGATTGTAGTTGATTCAACTATAATCATGGACAAAGGAAGATAACTCCAATTTTAAAAATTACTTGATATTTAGAAGAAAATAAAAATTTTGCAATTTTTCCATTTATAAAGGGGCATAACTCTAGAACAGTTAAGGTGACGCCACCAAAATTCAAACTTGATCTGTGTTTTGTGGTAATAAGCATTGTGTATAAGTTTCATAACATTTGGTTGAGGCAAACTTAAGTTAGAGAAAGGAAACTAAAAATTTTGCAATTTTTCCATTTATAAAGGGGCATAACTCTAGAACGGTTAAAGTGAAGCCACCAAAATTCAAACTTGATCTGTGTTTTGTGGTAATAAGCATTGTGTATAAGTTTCATAACATTTGGTTGTTTGGTTGAGGCAAACTCAAGTTAGAGAACAGAAACCAATTTTGGGACGGACGGACGGGCGGACGGACGGACAAGGTTAAAACTTAATGCCCCCTCCGCTACGGCGGGGGCATAAAAATATATAAATATCAAGGGCATTAAAGTTTAATAAACTTATTCAGATATTTATATGGTATATATTCTAGAAGTTTATGAAAACACATCCATCATGGGAATATTTAGAGGTTGATAGCTTGTTTTGAAGCATTAATTGTTCAATGACATAATGATTCTCACTGATTGTTTTAATACTTTGTCTTTGATGGATTAATAATCAAACAAATGTTTTGTTTTGATAAACGAGTCATCTTGGAACCACCCAAGTAATACAAACAATGATGTACCGTACGAATTGTAAATCATGAAAAGGATTTACAAGTTCATTTATTATTATACTCTGATGGGTGCAGGTCGTTTCGTAACCTGGTCGTTTCGTACCTAGTCGATTCGTAACTAACTAGTTTGTTTTGTAACTGAGACATTTCGTAACCTTATAACAATATATCATGATATGAGTTATAGGTCATGTAGGTTATGGATAAAAAATTTCGATTAAAAATAATAAAAAGACTTATTGGCACTCATACCACATCTTCTTAAATCTATTTATTGATGTATATATATATATATATATCTATATTTATTTATTAAATAATTGATTGCACATAATTTTACACTTTACAAGTACATATGCAGTCTTGCACACATACGAATAGAACAGAAGAATTTAAAATGTCTATCATCATTTAAGTGTACCCCATCTTTACGTTTATTTTTTCATAACATTTTATCAAGTTGTATTGAACATTATTATCCTACTTGTCTTTTTACACTAATGTATGCAATGTATATGCTTGCATTTTGTTTGATTTTTATGATGAGGGCCTCAGGGAAGATTAGTTATATAGCTTACTGTGTAACCCTCTTAAAATAAAGTATTAAAATTGAGAATGGAAATGGGGAACATGTCAAAGAGACAACAACCCGACCAAAGAGCAGACAACAGCCGAAGGCCACCAATGGGTCTTCAATGCAGCGAGAAAATCCCGCACCCGGAGGTGGTCCTCAGCTGGCCCCTAAATAAAATTGTGTGCTAGTTCAGCGAAAATGGACGTCACACTAAACTCCAAAACATATAAATGAACTAAAATTAAAAAACATACTAGACTAACAAAGGCCAGAGGCTCCTGACTTGGGACAGGCGCAAAAATACGGCGGGGTTAAACATGTTTTGTGAGATCTCAACCCTCCCCCTATACCTCTAGCCAATGTAGAATAAAGAAACACATAGCAATACGCACAGTAAAACTCAGTTTAAAAGAATGTTATTGTTGTTGTTGTTGTTGTTGTTGTTATCAAAGTATCTTTAAGTCTTTTGCCACATGCATTGGTGTCTCCAATACTTGACACCACTCATCTTTATGTTGCTTAGTTCTTTACTAATCTTCTTTTTTTTCTATCATAAGTTGTTTCTTTCATGTTTCTAAAATCAGCAAAGACCCATCGAAACAAAATCTGATTCAAAAATTTAATAACACTTTTAGATATTTAGATGATATATTGGCTCTTAATAATGACGACTTCAGTATGTACACTAAAGAGATGTATCCTGCCGAACTGACTATAAATAAAGCTAATACTAACAATGAACACTGCCCTTTCCTGGATCTTGATATCTTTATCTTTAACGGGAAACTTAATACCAAAATTTATGATAAAAGAGATGATTTTTCATTTCCTATTGTTAATTATCCATTCTTAGATGGTGACGTTCCCTTGTCGCCATCTTACATGTCTTATGGTGTTTATATATCTCAACTTGTTCGATTCGCTCGTGTATGTAACAACGTATTTGATTTCAACGAAAGAAATCTCTGTATTACTGAAAAATTATTACACCAGGGTTTTCGATATCACAAACTAGTCAAAACATTTCCTAATTTTTATCATCGGTACAAGGACATCATTGGTAAATATAAATCAACATGTAGACATCTTATACGTTCAGGTATTTCACTTCCAATATTTTATGGTAATATTCTTTACAAAGCACAAAAATGTCGGCATTCACCTCAAAAGCTAACCAAACCTTTAAACAGACTTATTCGGAAAGGATATAGTTACGATACTGTTGTCAAGTCATTAAGGATTGCATATTTTGGTATTAGTATTGATTCACTCATATATATAGTGTCTTTGCATCGGAAATAAACACATTTATTCTAAAACCAGTTGTTGGCATGATACGGGTTATGTTCTTCTCATATATTTTATGATGGTATGATACTAAACCCCTAACGGGAGGGATTGTACTGGATTTTCATATGATGTAGAGATAATCTTTCAATCTGTTTAATTGAGGTTTGGAGCTGGCATGTCAGTAACTGCTAGTAGTCCTTTGTTCATTTATGTATCATAGTCATTTTGCTTAGTTTCTTTTGTTACCTATTCTGACATCGGACTAAGACTTCTTTTAAATTGAGTTTTACTGTGCGTATTGCTATGTTTCTTTTTTCTACATTGACTAGAGGTATAGGGGGAGGGTTGAGATCTCACAAAACATGTTTAACCCCGCCACATTTTTGCGCCTGTCCCAAGTCAGGAGCCTCGGCCCTTTGTTAGCCTTGTATGTTTTTTAATTTTAGTTCATTTATATGTTTTGGAGTTTAGTGTGACGTCCATTTTCGCTGAACTAGCACACAATTTTATTTAGGGGCCAGCTGAGGACCACCTCCGGCTGCAGGATTTTCTCGCTGCATTGAAGACCCATTGGTGGCCTTCGGCTGTTGTCTGCTCTTTGGTCGGGTTGTTGTCTCTTTGACATATTCCCCATTTCCATTCTCAATTTCATTCTTGTTTTAGTTTGTCGATGTTAGAGGTTGCACTTTGTAAATACAGCTGTTTCTCAAACCACGCCTCTTTTGGGGAGATATTTAATATTCATAGGTATGTTAATTTGTTAACGTACTGGTTCCCATTGATGATCTCTGTGTTTCATCTCATAGAGACATCACTTGGGAATGTAACCAGTATAGAAAAACATGGTAGCGGCTAAATTTTAATTCTTAGGAGGTCCAAAAATGGAGGTAAGGGTAGTATAGAATTTTAGTATAAGTTTAAACTCTTAGAAGTTCAGGGCATATAAATGTTGAAAATATGCCGCACAGCCCTATATATTTTGACCTTTGAATAAAATAGTAGTGCATATAAACTTTCCGTTCTGGGATATTATTTTTCACGAAACTTCATAGTAAAAGTGTCACAGTTTTAGCCGCAAAGGGAGTTCCTATGGGAAATTGCATTGTCTGTATTTACAGAATTGCAACCTATATAGGGTTAAAAAATAGAACATACAGAATTTCACAAAATCTGGTTTATCTCAGAGATTTTAAAGAATTTAACTCAAATATGAAGTTTTATAAATATTTCATGAAGATTGAGAAAATCCTGGGCCTTAACTATGATGACTCAGCATAAATTCACAGTTTACAGTATGCATGGTTTACTTAAAGCCCTGAATTCAAAATAAATTCATAATATATGCCTATTTGTAATTTAAATTGTTTAGAAGTGCTTATATTTACTCTTCGCAGTAATTGCAACTCATTGATCCTTCCTAAATATTTCTGGTGGGGTGTTTTCGTCCTGTCGATAACCCAAAAGTAAGCCGTAACGCCTAAATGTGCTTTTTGTGACTGCGGCATAAAAAAATACAAGCTAGAATTACAAAAAGACCTCAGTAAAACTTACAATAGTGTGTTCTATCCTAAATATGGAGCAAATATTCCACATTGCTAGAAACAGGGAAAAAAATTAGGAAATGTGAGGCCCCAGGGGCAAAAAACAGAGAAAAATGCCTACCCCTGAGTCATAAAACAGGTAATTTAACTTGTAAATGCTATGATTTTTTTATTTTAAAGGTCTTTTATAAAGTAAACAATAACTGTGCTAGGAAGTTATGCAAAAATCAGATGTAAGCAGTCATTTCAATCAAACTTTTAGTGAATTTATGCACCAGGCTGATATCTTCATAAATACAACTTTTGCAAATATGGCTTTGTTTAAACACTTCTAGGACATATATTAACTAACTTATGTTAGATATATGGTTAGGGATGATACTGTTGTGACAAGAATTCTAAACTGACCATTTGAGGCAGAAATTGTGAACTTTCATTGACAAATAGGCATACAGTAAGATGTGGACTGGAGACACAGGCAGGATTGGATACTTTGTATAATCTTGAATGTTGGAATGCTTAACTACTAAACAATACATTTATTGTATTCTAAAATGCTTTCAATTTGTTATCAGAATAGTTTCAAACAGGTTTAAGACAGTTCATGTCAGAAAACATGCAGATAGGGTAAGCTGGCAATAATTAGAGTCTTGTTTTCAAAATCTTTAAAAAATTGAAACAGGGGTAGGGGTATAAAATGTACTGTAAAAGGAGACTTAGAGTATATGCAGTGATTTCTTTAAGGCTATAATTCTGATAAATAAGTATTGTTGTGAGAAAAAGTGTTTTTAGAGAGTTTTCTATTTGAATAAATATTTGTATAGGTTGCACTTTGTAAATACAGCTGTTTCTCAAACCACGCCTCTTTTGGGGAGATATTTAATATTCATAGGTATGTTAATTTGTTAACGTACTGGTTCCCATTGATGATCTCTGTGTTTCATCTCATAGAGACATCACTTGGGAATGTAACCAGTATAGAAAAACATGGTAGCGGCTAAATTTTAATTCTTAGGAGGTCCAAAAATGGAGGTAAGGGTAGTATAGAATTTTAGTATAAGTTTAAACTCTTAGAAGTTCAGGGCATATAAATGTTGAAAATATGCCGCACAGCCCTATATTTTGACCTTTGAATAAAATAGTAGTGCATATAAACTTTCCGTTCTGGGATATTATTTTTCACGAAACTTCATAGTAAAAGTGTCACAGTTTTAGCCGCAAAGGGAGTTCCTATGGGAAATTGCATTGTCTGTATTTACAGAATTGCAACCTAGAGCCTTTATCACTACAGAAAGAACACCAAAGCACAAATTCGCCAAGAATTAAATAATTTTACATAGTTTTAAATTATTACAATATTGTTATTATTAGATACACACTTTGATCTATTTTAAATAATAACAAGAACAAAAGATAAGCAATTTATTTTGGCTTCAATAATCGTATATCATGAATATAGACAATTCGAAGAGATATATATATACACTTCTAGAGACAAAACTAGTTAAATTAATTTATATATATATATTTTCTTTAACTGTTTGATCTAAAACTAAAAGAGACGCACTTTATTACCATATATAATCACACCAGGTACGAAATGTCTCAGTTACTAATCAACGTAGTTACGAATCCACCTGGTACGAAACCACCAGATTATGAAACGACTTTGCATTATCACTCTGAGACTACTATAACACACGACTCTGAGACTTCTATAATACATGTTATAGTAGTCTCAAATATACTGCATAAATTAACTGAATAGATTTTTTTTGTTAACAAATACATGTACATGTATCAATAAATATATTCTACTATGCAAATCAGAGGGAAACTAATAAGTCATGTTGGTTGCGATTCAGCGAAATTTTCAACAATCTTTGCGTTTTATAAAGTAATTTTAATGTTCTGTGGTATATTTCAGTAGTTTTGTTGTAATTTGTGGTGTTCTGCGGTACATTTTGAGTGTTCTGTGGTATTCTGTGGTACATTTTGAGTATACTGTGGTACATTTTGAGTGTTCTGTGGTATTCTGTGGTGTTCTGTGGTATTCTGTGGTATTCTGTGGTGTTCTGTGATAAAAAGACGCTCCGATCTTTAACATATTCTTTTCAGATAATAAACATTATGCAATTGACAGCAATAAGAAAAAAAATAAAATCAGGGCGAATGGACCCTGGGCGATCAGGTATCACGGCGAAGGTGAATCAGGGCGAACGGGCCCGGATTCTTTAATAATAATATATAAATTAATTATAAATACCTTGATTTGATTATAGGAATGCTGGCCTCTAGCTCCTCCAATGCTTCATCAAGAAGTTTTATGGTCTGTGAGTTAGCGTAAGCTGTTCTTTTAAGTCCGATATTAGGACCGAAATTTGTGTTTTTCAAAATCTCAATGTACTTCTTCTGCTGACTGCTTAAATTGTTTATTTTGGGGATTTTCTCGAGAACATCCGACAGTTCGCTACTATTCTTTTCATAGTTAATGTGAAGAACGTTTTCTACGTGATATCGTTGCCAGCGGGATACCCAGTTTGGCAAATAACTATACAACCCTGGACAATTCTTGGAAGCTTCGCTTCTGGCCATTTCTGTTTCCGAGTCTGGTTCCTTCAGACATGACGCCATGCCGCTGACGCTACAGACGAAAAACGAAATAGCACGGAAACCTCGGAGGATTCCGCTACCTATCTATCTATCTGTAAATAACTTCTGCCAATCAAGGCACACCTCCTGGAACCCGGAGTACGGTATGATTAAAATATTAAGTATATATATATATACACTGAATATCCTCCACCAGTATTTACACTAGATCCATAACAGATCCACTGCATGATAAAAGTTCTTTATCCACACATAAAATAATTATGTCCGATCTTAAAATCTAAAAGTTATATTGTAAAATTGCATTTTAAATCATGATTTGTATATTGGCATTTTTGCCAATAGGTGATCTGACTACACTATAGCATTTACTTATGTTTCTATTCTTTTTTTAGGCATAATTTTCAATAATTCTTACCGCTTATGGTGCAATGTATATAGAGGATGGTAAAGGGTTATTTTCGTGCAACGTGTTTTGCAATTTTTATTTCACGTGACTGTAGCCGTGAAAAAGGTTCGCTATTCAACGTGTTTCGTGAAATGGGTAAAAAGATCAACGTGCAAGAAATTTTGTAATTGTTCGTTCATCGTGAAATGGTAATTTTATTTCACGTTCTTCCGTGCAGATACCCCCCTTTTTTACGCCCCTCTATATACAAGATGTCTGCACAGAGGTTCTAAATGAATATTAACTTGATGTCATTAGTAAGCTCTTTATGTGCTGAGGTAATACAGTAGGCATAAGGATTAACTACAACAGTTAGAAGATCTATTTCTACAGATAGGCTATATTTAGCAAATAGCAAGCTACAATTAAGTATTGGTGATCTTTTCAAGAATATCTTTACGCCGTGTTCAGAGGCGGATTTAGAGGGTTTTTCAGGGGGCCCGGGCCCCCCTTTTCTGGGAAAAAAATTGGTTGATTATATAGGGAATCACTGAAGCATGACTGGAGCGGGCCCCCTCTTAGGCAGTCAGTGGGCCCCTACTTATGAAAATTTCTGGATCCGCCACTGGTGTTGGTGATCTTTTCAAGAATATCTTTACGTATGTATATTCTAGCCGGGTACAGCTAGCCTAGCAGAAAATGAGCAAGCGTCTCGATCTTCACTACAATTGCAGAGCATACAGACTACATCTATTTTGTTTTGATTAAAGGCGGCTCTATTTGTTTGGAGAATATATGTACCAGTAGCAATTTTTAGTCGTACTGGTATCCTCGAAATATCTCAGATGTTTGCATCTACAGTTCTTGCTATAGGATGACATTGTCCTACCTTATAACTCATTTCCAAATATGATAATGTAGGATACATTTTAGATTCCTTGTTAATACGTTTTTTCCAATAGTCATTAACCTTTGTTGATATTATTTTTTTCCATAAAATTTTGGATAACGGAAAGCCAAGAAAACTATAACGGATCATCAATGTCATATTTCAGGCATAGCTTTTTTATTTCAATGAACCAACTATTACTTCTCATGATTTTAATCATAGGCGGATCCAGGGGGCCCTGGGGGCCCAGGCCCCGATTTCGTGGGGAACATTTGATCGATTATATAGGGAATTACTGAAGCATGACTGGAGCCCCCCCCCCCCTTTTTAGGTCAGTCAGCGCCCCTCCCCCCTTTCATGAAAAGTTCTGGATCCGCCACTGTTAATACTGAGCTGTCTCTTCAATTCTCCATTCCATTGAACTCTTCCTTGATCTACATATATTGCCAAATAAAATTAATGCCCTTTTATGAATTTCTATGGCATGGTATTGGTTGCAAAAATTTGATATTTTTCAATTAAATGCAATATTTTTTATTTGATTGGTTTATTTCTTCATTTATAAATGCAATATTTTTTTATTTGAATGGTATATTTTTTCATTTAAATGCAATATTTTTTATTCGGATGGTATAATTTTTCATTCAAATGGTATAATTTTTCATTCAAATGGTATAATTTTCATTCAAATGGTATAATTTTCGTTCAAATGCAACATTTTTTATTCAATTGGTATAAAATGTCATTTGAATGCAATTTTTTTTTTTATTCAATTGGTATTTATATGCAATAATTGCATTATGGGAAATTCTTTGACGTCATAAGGTCAAATTTGCAACAACGTTTGTGATTGGTCGTTAATTGTTTAAATTTCTCCCCTTTCTTTCTAAACTTGAGTGACCAAGAATTAAAAAAACGAGTCAGAATATCGCCCCTCTAACTAAATTTGGCGTTCGTGCGAGTTCGTGCACTGGCTGTTAATGCCAATAATGGCCAGGACGAGCAAAAAATGCGAGTGACAAGTAATAATAATTAATTTGACACACAACTTGTTCATGGATAGAAACAGATGCCTGCGTGCATGGCAAAAACACCTCCAATGAAAACCTTTTCTGAAGAAACTCTCCTACAGTCTACACATTGAAATAAAAAAAAATACATAGCTAGCCCCCCTCCTCCTTCTAAGTCCAGATACTTGTAATCATGACGTTCTTTAGTGCTATATCATTTTTTACTTTTCTCAGTGATCCTCAGAGACGTTGCAGGAAGGCACACATGAAAAAAGAATAAAAAGCATCCAGGACGTTACAATTATTTGGACTAAGCCCCCTCTTTTTTACTACATGTAGAAAAAAAATCACCTAATTACGACATCAGAACCAGAAACCCACAAGTAGAGACATAAGCTGTTATACTCCGGAACTAATTTTTTAATAAAGACAATTCAGGATAAATGATTGGAACCAGTTACTAACCCATGTTACAACAATAGTCCTATGACATAGGACTTCACTATATGAGGCGTGAACTTCATATTTAATACTACCTTTAATATGTGCTCTCATGTCTTATGCTGCAAATCATTTTACATTTAGGATTCGTTGCTGAGCTTTTTTTTACTAAACGTTCTCGTAAACGAATCCCTTAAATAGATTTTTTTCAAGCCCCACAGTAGTTCAATAATTACTATATGTCTTTGCATAAATAAGTATGCAGGGCATATTTCAAAACATATTTTATCTTCAGGACTTTTAAATGATTTACTTTTCAATACTGCATTGAGAAGGGGGGTTCACAAGTTTATTTTGTGACACATTATATAATATAATTAGGTATCCAACAAATTATATGATTGTACGTTTAGCTATTATCTAGATCCGTACAAAATGTATATAATTAGAGACACATTTAACAGGGGCGGATCCAAAACCTCGGTGTCTAGAAGGGGGGGGGGGGGACGGGGGGAGTAGGTTCAAATTTAGATATTTGTATAGAGATGTATATATGCGAGTATTGGCAGTAATGGTTATGGTGTGTGTGTGTGAGGGTAGGGGTTTCAGATCAAAGATCGTTTCTATAATTCTATATCTTTTAGTTTTTACCATTTCACTCTATTCTTTATCCTTTGATCTCTATTATATTTGTCCTAAACATACGTGACATATTTGCCACTGGACATAAGGCAACCAAATGTCAATCAACGTATTCTGTATATTTCATCATTTCTTTATTATGTTATCTATACATGCTATAGGTTTGGTCCCGCCCCTTATCTATTTTTTTGCACATTAGGGACGACATCAAAAGTTCAATGTAGGATAAAAAAAACTTAATTCATATAGTTTTTTTTCACTGACCCCCTACCCCACCCCCCCCCCCACCCACCCCCCCCCCACCCCCTCTTAACTTAATTTGGGAAAAATTGATTGACCAATAAGGATATATACCCCCCCCCCCCCCCCAAAAAAAAAAAAAAAAAAAAAACCTATTTGAATTAAGTTTTTTATCCTTCATTGATTTTCTCTCTATGTAAACCCAATTCATGTCCTGATAAATGGTGACTCATGCAGAGCATCATATGTGGTTATTAAAACAAGAAACATATTCATATTATAATAATTAATGTATGCTAGGACTTATAGATAGATGTCATTAGTCCCAGGTCATGTAAGAAAGTAGGTCTTATAAAAATACAATAGCATTTTAATTTTGATGATTATATATATGTTTATATATTTAATAATGTCATTTTTTTTGGAAAAAAGGGTAGGGGCAAGGCGTTTTTAAAACATATCAATGGGGCGCGTTTTTTTTTTTTTTTTGTTCTTCGGAAATGAGCCAGAAGAAGTCCATTTCTGTTTTTTTTTTTTTGCATTGGGAAGATCTTCTGGCTCTCTTCCACCTCTTCTTTTTTGATAGGTTGACGGCAGAGGCACATAACAAACATGGCGTCGTTTAGTCTAAATGAAATTACCAGCTCTTACCAGGCAACCATATTCATATATGAAATCCTTCTGTCCCCCACCCCAACAAATAAATAAATATCATATGGTTTTCCTCTTATTTAACACAAGTTTAAATTGATTGATTATTTGTTGCTAATTTTAACGCCCAGTGAAAATTATTTCATGCTTGTTCAGGAAAACACGGTCGAGTTTAGAAGTCACGTATATAATATAAAAATGAAGAGATGCAATATGATTGCTAATAAGGCAACTATCCACCGGAGTTCAAATATGAAGTGGATGTTAGCAATTATAGATAAGATAAGAAAAATTTATTTTAAGTCGGATTACATGAAATACTACAAACATAAGCTCTATAGAGCTTTTTGCCGTCATGTAGACAATGCTTTTTGTAGACAATCGTAAGGCCTTCAACAATGACAAAAACCTGATACTGTAAAGTCGTCTATAAAAGGCCCGACATGAAAAGTGTGAACAATTCAAACGAAAAAACTAACAGCATAATAATTATACATAACAAAACAATTTACAAAATATCAAATATGAGTCGAGACAGGAACCAACGACAACCACTAAACTACAGGCTCCATCCCTGGGACAGGCAAATAAAGAATATGGCAGGGTGGATAGAAAAAAAAGATGTGGTATGATTGCAAATGAGACAACTCTCCACAAGAGATCAAATGACACAGAAATCAACAGCTATAAGTCACCGTACGGCCTTCGACAATAAGCAAAGCAAACACCGCATAGTCAGCTATAATAGGCCCCGAAATAAAAAATGTAAAACAATTCAATCGAGAAAACTAACGGCCGAATTAATGTACAAAAAAATGAACGAAACACAA